GGGTGTGAAGGGAGGAGACACTAGGTGCCCCCTCGTATTTCAAATATTAGGGAACCCATCCACCAGCATATATTAGCAATTTTAGGACCACCCCTTTAAAATGTATAGTATTCTCCACCCAATGCCCATGCCCCAATTATTTCTCAGGTCCCATCCCTATGGGTTGTGTCCTTTCATAGTGATTGGGCAACAATGGCTTCCCACTTGCTAGTTTTAATGTTTAGTAGACCGGTCCCCACCTGCGATGGACAAATGGTAAAATACCTCCTTTGTAGCAATATGGGGGTCTTATTGAATGCATATATATATATTTTCCCTTGAAAATGACTATCCCATTGAACTTAATTTGATAGCATACTAAGATAGAACTGCTTACATAGGGGGGTAGGACCTGACCTTCATGCTGGAAGGATGCATAGTGCATCGGCTCCTCAGCATTTTTCTTCAAAAATAAATTAAACTACCTTTCCAAGCCAATCTGAGATGGGAAACTCTTGAGCACCTTACTCTGTGAAAAATCAGCATCAATCCTGCTTACAGGACGTGCTATCTGGCAGTCAAGCATTGAGGCCAAGTGTGGGGCGTTGGCGGGAGAAACGGCCGATCTTACATTCTGTGGCCTACCTGCTCTGCATGATGGCTGCACCACGTGCCCCTGAGGTGAGAGGCCCAGAAGCAAGCAGACACACAGGGCCTGCAGTCCTGAACTCTGGCACACCTGGATGCGGTCCTAGAGCGACTTTGGGGGAAACATGAGGTACACATTGAGATAGCTGACCCAATCACCCTAATGGTGGCATGCTACTACGGCTCCTGCTAACTCCATCGTATACTTACCTCCGCTGGAGGCACCTCCGTACCCAGCCTCAAAAAGCCTCACGTGTCGGCTCTCACTACTTAATTCTCATACACTTCTGACTAGCTGTGCTGGTGCAACTAAATGTCTGATATTAACCACGCTTTTCTCAATTCTCGCGTGAAGCAAGCTTGGTTTAGCAGGTACAGTTTAATTTACTTTTTTTATACGGCTTGTGTGTTCAAGATGTCAATGTTTTATTATGCTAAAAAAAGTGCAGAAATATAATACTTATGTTAATTTCTGTTTATTAACCTCCTTGTTGCAATTCTTTCTAATGTGATCAATGCATGATTTCTCTATGCACTTCAAAAATAAAGAATAAAAAAAAAAAAAAAAAGAACTGTTTACATAAGGGTTGTATCATTGTCAATACTTAAAAATAAGTTTGTTTTTAAATAAGAATCACATGCATTCCCTCTTCCATTTGAGTTTTAGTGGACTCACTGGGTGTTTTATCGCGTTTAGTTTTCATTATATATATATAAATATTGAAAGGCTTGCACTCACGGTCTTGTTTTCTTTAAAAGATTCCTTTATTTCATCTCTTTAAAATCCGATTGTGGCGGAACCAACCTCGCCACTGGCCACTGGAGGAGCCTGGTTGCCCACCTCTTGCCGCTGGACTATGGCACTGCATTAAAAACCTTTTATTCTTCCTATGTCAGCAGTGTTACCCCAGATAACTAAGCCATGGAGTCCATTCGTATACCGAAAGACTATGGGAAAGACTTTGGCTCCATGGCGATTGAACTGTATGCATGTGATCTGAGCGCCATCCGGTAATAATGTGCGCTCAGATCTAGGCTATCTGGGGATAGGTAGAATGTGTATGTTCTATGTGATGAATGTAACAGTATGTACTTTTATGTCTTTTATTGTCCTTTGTCTGCCATGTGGTTAATGGAGTTTTGCCTCTGTCCTTGGAGATAATTGGATTACTTCCCAATTATCTCCAGAACAGTGAGGAGGGATTATGATGCATTGTGGGATTGGAAGCTTGTGATTGGTCAATGTCGAATAGGTTTCCCAGTCTTCCATCTGGTCCCCTAGGGGGTAGACTTGCACAAAAGCCGGGCAGGTAGCCCCAGTAAATCAGTTCTGCTTGATCCTCAAACGAAGTGTCGTCTCGTTCTTGGGGGGAATTGGATTGTATGCTGTTACAGTGCGACTGCCAGGAGTGTAAACTGATTGTATGCTTTAACTGTTCGGCTGTTTACAGCATTCGTGTGTTTCCTGTTCGGGAGTTTGGAGCATTCCCCTGGTTCCAGTGCGGGAGATTGGTGAATTCATGTGTTTGCAGTTCGGGAGATTGGTGATTGCAGTAGCTGTCTGTGCATCTGAAAAGGGGAATATTGCCTAACCGGTTTTTAACCTCTTGTGTGCAAAACGGCCCGTTACACCGATCAACGTTTCAGCCAATGTCCGTGGCTTTCATCAGGATCAATTCAGCACCTGCCACGTGATCCTGATGAAAGCCATTGACGTTGGCTGAAACGTTGATCGGATTTTAAAGAGATGAAATAAAGGAATCTTTTAAAGAAAACAAGACCGTGAGTGCAAGCCTTTCAATATTTATATGATTTATGGCATTGGCTAAAGTGCACCCGGCATTTTGAAAATTAAGTGTGTGTGCAAGGACAAAGAGAGACATTATATATATATATATATATTATTCAGGAACAAGACATGCAATACAACCAGAATATGATGATTATGCTGACAGAAAGTAAGAAAAGAGTAGGAGTAAGTAAGAGTTGAAGAGTGAATGTTTGTGCTTTAAACATGCCTTATGTTAGTGCACATACAAATGTGTGAACTTGTGCATTCCTGTTTTCTGTGTCCTGTGAGGTCCTTTACTCTGCTGCCCTGTGTAACACAAACATTTCACATCTAAGTAATGTGATCTCCCCCACCTTTCCCCTCCTCCCAATGAATAGAGAACGCTGGTTTGTTTTGATACTGCACTGGTCCCCTGGTCACTGTTTGATCTTTAACCCTGCTTCTAAAGACACGGATTGTTCACTTTTTTTTTTAAAACCCATTACCAATGTGGCCTGCTTCTCTTCCTCTGTATGTGTATGTCCTGATTTAAAAAATAATAATAATAATTAAAAAATAAAACCATATATATATGTGCACACACGCACACATACATACACATGGGTAATGGGTTTCTTTTTTAAATGAGACAGCCACTAGAGGCTGGATTAATCCATTTATAAACATAGCAGTTTCTCTGAAGCTGCTATGTTTATAAAAAAAAGGGTTAATCCTAGAGGGACCTGGCACCCAGACCACTTCATTAAGCTGAAGTGGTCTGGGTGCCTAGAGTGGTCCTTTAAACACAAAAGAAGGAAGGTATGTAGAAGAGGATAAAGGTCTAGCTGACTGTCATGGGCAGAGCGGAGAGACCGAGAAGGGGCATACCTGCGGATCAATGAAGAAATACAGGAGGGGCTAGAATTGGTCAGTGCTTTATAGGTGTTGATTAGTACCTTTATTTGACTCCTTTAAGATACAGGAAGCCAATGTAAGGACTGACAGAGGGAAGAGGTGTGAGAGGAGCGACAGGAGAGGAAAATCAGTCTAGCTGCAGCATTCATTAGACTGTAGCAGGGCAATACGACTTGTGGGAAGACGTATAAGGAGAGAGTTACAATAATCCATGCGAGAGAATACTAGAGCATGGACAAGCTCCTTAGTAGCATCTTGTGTAAGAAAGGGTTGGATGTGGGCTATGTTTTTAAGGTGTAATCTACAGGATTTGTTAACAGACTGGATGTGAGGCTCAAATGTGAGGCCAGAATCAAGTGTAACGCCAACACAGCGAGCTTGCAAGGATGGATTTATGTGGGTACCACTCACTTGAAGGGAGAGCAAAAGAGGGGTATCAGTATTAGGAGGAGGAAAGACAAGGAGTTCAGTTTTAGAGAGATTGAGTTTCAATATGCGGGAGGACATCCAATCAGAGATGGAAGAAAGGCAAGCAGTGACACGTTGCAGAAGGCAGGGGAGAGGTCCGGGGAAGAGAGGTATATCTGAGTGTCATCAGCGTACAGGTGGTATTGGAATCCAAATTAGGTAATTAGTTTTCGAAGAGAGGCAGTATAAAGAGAAAATAGAAGGGGACCAAGTACAGAGCCTTGGGGGACTCCAACAGAGACAGGACGAAGGGAAGCAGGTATCATTAGAAAAGGAGACACTGAATGAGCGTTGGGAGAGATAGGAGGAAAACCAAGAGAGGACAGTGTCACAGAGACCAAGTAATTGAAGAGTTTGGAGAAAGAGAACATGGTCAACAGTATTAAAGGCAGCAGAGAGGTCAAGAAGAATTAGTATAGAGTAGTGCCCTTTGGATTTAGCTGCGATTAGGTCATTAGTGACTTTAATAAGAGCAGTCTCAGTAGAGTAGAGGGGGCGGAAGCCAGACGAAAGAGGGTCAAGAAGAGAGTTGGAATTAAGGAAGCAAGTCAGACGGGTAAAGATCAGTCTTTCCAGAAGCTTTGAGGAATAGCAGGGATATCGGACGATAGTTAGAAGGGGAGGATGGGTCAAGAGATGATTTCTTTTTTAATATGGGTACTACAGTAGCATGTTTAAGGACAGCAGGGACAACACCAAAAGAGAGAGAGAGTAGACAAGAGGAGAGAGATCTGATAGGATTTCTCTATCTGACGGGATCAAGCAGGCAAGTGGTGGGACGAGAGGAAAGGAGAAGAGCAGCCACCTCTTGTTTAGTAGTCTGGGAGAAAGTCTAAATGGTAGGAAAGGCATGACCTAGGTGTGGTTGAGAAAGAGAGGGGCAAGGTGGTGAGAATTCTTTCCTTAGCTGTTCAATCTTGTCATTAAAGTAGCAAGCAAAGTTATCGGCTGTATGGTTAGTTTGGGGAATGGCCACAGCAGGGCAAAGAAGGGAGTTAAAGGTATTAAAAAAAAGCCTGGGATTGCAGGAGTTAATGAGGGAGGAAAAGTATGACGCAACATGAATTTGTAGTGGAGGAAGCCAGACTGGGTGCATGACTTCCTCCAGCAGCGTTCAGCCGAACAGGAGCATCTCTGCAGGTAACGTGTTGATTTTTTTTTTTATGTCAATATATTTATTTGTATTGAGACTCCCATAGAAAATAGAAGAGTGCCCAGTTTAGTTGTCTGCAGCAACTTTCTCCTGAGCTCGGAGGAAGCTAGCTTTCTTCTGAGCAATGCGGTCTTTCCTCTGTTCCACAGACAATTTGGCACGATTCCACCTCTTCTTTTTAACTTCTCTCGGGGGCTTCTTTTCATGCACTGGATTTTCTCGGATGGCTGCATGTGCTTTCTTGTACAAGTCCTCAACCTGGTCATGGGTGATGCCGTTCTTAATGTATTGTGAGAACTGTTTTTTGTAGGCGTCCTCATCTTACTCTATCAGAAGATGCATGTACTCTGCTACATTCTGGCCCAGAATGTCCTTGCGGTGAACCTCGGCGTTGAACTCTTTGCTTTCAGAGTCGTAGCCAGGAAAACGCTTCGTACTATGAGGAATGGATAAGCCTCCATCCACAGCCCCCTTCAGAACACCAAAGACTTCCAGTGGTGGTTCGTGTGAGACCAGCATCCAAGTAGCAAGTGAAGGCGCCAGGTTGACCATTAATGCTCTCCACGTTGTATTCGTCGCCAGTTACTTCCACCTGACCCTCGTAGACTTTGTCAAGGCTGAATTTGTTATGAAGCCTGCGAGCCAGCAGCAGGCCTGTGCAATAAGCTGCAGCATAATTTGTCATGCCACATTTGATGCCGTATTTAGGAAGCTCATGAGAATAAGCAGCACAAACAATCATGTCTCCTTCGATTCTGGCGTATGCAATCTGGCAGATAATGTCTCTGTTGGTGACACGCACAATCATCCTGTATTTAGGAGTATTGTACTTATTCTTATCCTGGATGACCAATCGTTTGCGAGCATAGTAATCGGTCTTGCCCTCTCTCCTTCTGCGAAACTTGACTTGGTATCTCTTGAAGTAGGCCTTGTTTTTAACAACTTTTACGAACCCAGTGCCAGCAGCCTAGACCAGCAGGCAGCCTGTGTGATCCTCCAGGAAGGAGCAGGCCGGCCAGCCAGAGCCTGCGGCAGCCATTAGGCTCAGCCTCAGACACTTTCACAATCCACCATCATCCGGACTGCAATCCGCCTGCCGTAACGTGTTGATTTAATGTGCCACGGTTGGGGGCGTGTTCTCCTCAAGGTGTTTGTTTGGGGCTGCAGCGTCCAGGGCAGAGGTGAGAGTAGTGTTATATGAGGAGATAGCCAGTGAGGGACAGGAGAAAGTAGGGATGGATAGAAGTTGGAAATCAGTATTACCCGAGTTATCTTTGTACATCTTTTGGCAATGTGGGTGGCTTAGTGTGAGAGTAGACTTTGTAAAGGGGTGCCCTCGAAGGCACTTTAGTTTCCTATTTTAAGAGAAATAGCGTTACTCACACTTTTTCCCTGTCCTCTTCTACCTCATAGCTGCTCCACATCGGCAACAGTGATATACAACAACAATAGTATATATTTTAATATTGTTAAATTTAAACTATTCAATGTTACTTTTTGCTTAATTTTTGAATACTCTACCATACAGGGAGGAATATATTCAGTGTATGGGGCTCTGGTAGCTTCACTCGGCACACTACAGTTGCCAGTTCTTAACTACCGCATATCTATAGTGGCACCCCTACAAATAGCTACCTGTGTTCATTATGGTTGTTTAATCCTCTTATTTATCCTGTATATTCTGTTATCTTTGTACATCTTTTGGTGGGTGGCTTATTGAGAGAGTATAATTGTTAAGGGGTGCCCTCAAAGGGACACTAGTTTCCTATATCAGGAGAAACATGGCAACTCACACTTTCCCCATGTTCTCTTCACCCTCATAGCTTCTCCACATCGGTACCAGTGATATTCAACAACAATAGTTACATTTAAACTATTTCAATTTAACTTTTTGCTTAATTTACAAGTACTCTATAATACAGGGAGGAATATATTTTATCACACCTTACTTTTTAACATTAAAATACAATAAAAGTTAAGTTTGACTTATATTTCTATCTAATTCTCTCACATTAAGAAAATACAGTTGTTGGTGTATTTAATTTTCTTTTTCTTATTTTACAACTTGTGGTTATTAAGGGGTTAAGTACAAGACAAACTAGTGATTTTGGATGTCACTTTACTGACAAGCTCCAAGAGGAAAAAACTCACAGGCACTCCAACTTCAAGCCGTAGGCAGATTTATTATGACAGAATGCAACGCAACGTTTCGACCGGAAAGGTCTTTTTCAAGCTTGAAAAAGACCTTTCCGGTCGAAACGTTGCGTTGCATTCTGTCATAATAAATCTGCCTGCGGATTGAAGTTGGAGTGCCTGTGAGTTTTTTCCTCTTGGATTATTGTACTGGGATTGCTGGTCCTGCTCTGGAGCACCCTTGGCCGTTGGGACTGGGTGCGGTTCTCATCACTTACTCTGCTCTTTACTGACAAGCTCAACCAAACTAAGAATGCAGTCTTCTCTCTTTCCCTCTCCCCTCAAGTACTCAGCTTCCATTCCGTATCTTCATGCACTTTTAATTCTTTCCACCCTGTCTCTGAGCTAGAGGTCTCTACATTTTTACTATCCTCTTGTCCCTGTACTCTCACCTTGTCCAATCTCTTTGCCCTAGTCTGTTCCCATCCTTAATGCATATTTTCATACTTTCTTTGTCTACTGGCATCTTTTCCTCTTCCATCAAACATACCATTGTTAATACCATTCTACAAAAGCATATCTATTGACCCTACATCTCCTTCTAACTACCATATCATCCCATATCACAATTCCCTTTCACTTATTAGCTTCTTGAGCGGGTTGTACATACCTGTGTCACTCACTTTCTCAATACTAATTCTCTCCTTGACCCTCTTTAATCTGGCTTCCGCTCCCTCTATTCTACTGAAACTACCCTTAACAAAAAGATTAATTACTAACAACTTAATCACTGCTACATCTAAAGTTTATTACTCTCTTTTAATCCTCCTCAACCTCTCTGTTGCTTTTGATACTGATTCCTCTCTTATTCTCCATCTACACTACCTCTCTTAGAAACCTTACTAACTACTTTGGATTTCAGTACCATCTATATAATATTACCTCTCATCCCCTGACCTCTATCCTGCTCTTTTGGAGCTAGTCACAAACTGCTAATCTTTCATCTCTATCTGGATGTCTTTCTGTTTTCTAAAAGGTAATGTTTCTAAAACTGAACTCCTCATCTTTCCCCTCTCAAATAATCATCCTCCATCAATCTATCTGCAAGTCAATGTGACACCTATTACCCCAACCTCCCAAGCTCGCTGCCTTAGAGTTACTTTGGACTCAGGTCTAAATCCTGTAACTTTCACCTTAAAAATATTGCCTGCATTCGCCCTTTTCTATCTCAAGATACAACTAAGGCACTTGTTCATGCACTCATCATTTCCTAACTTGACTATAGGATCCAATTCAAACTGCTAACAGTAACCTACAAAGACCTTACTAACTCCACTCTTCACTACATTTCCTCTTTACTCAACAAATATACCCCTTGTCATTCCCTTTGCTGTGCTAATAGCTTTCTCCTGACATCTGCTTGTTCCAATGTTGCCAACTCTCATCTGCAAGATGTTTCAAGGACTGCCCCATTCCTTTGGAATTTGCTATCCTGTGCCATCAGACTCTCCCCTAACTTCCAGTTCTTTTAGAAGTCACTGAAAACACAACTCTTTAGGAAAGCCTTACACCGTTCTGGGTTATCCCCTCATCAGTTTTCCTCAAATCCATGCACTGTTAATTTTGGCGGCAGACTTCAATTCAGTTTTAGTCATAGTCTTTTAACTAAAAAGCCATTTTAGTTTTAGTAGAATTGTTTTAGTTTTAGTCTAGTTTTAAGTCGACTAGATATCCAGCAAATTTTATTCAACTAAATCTCCAGTAGACCTTAGTCGACAAGACTAAAATCTAATGGGTTTAGTTAAAGCCCCTATCTGTCTCTTTTGCCCCTTCCCCGCCTCTCCGTGCCTCTTTGTGTACTGCCAGCTCTTCTAGGTGTCTCTCTCCCAAGCCCTGGTCTGTGTCTTTTGCCCCGTCCACAGCCCCTCTGTGCAGTGTTAATTTTGGCGGTAAATTTCAATTCAGTTTTAGTCATAGTCTTTTAACTAAAAAGCCATTTTAGTTTTAGTAGAATTGTTTTAGTTTTAGTCTAGTTTTAAGTCGACTAGATATCCAGCAAATTTTATTCAACTAAATCTCCAGTAGACCTCAGTCGACAAGACTAAAATCTAATGGGTTTAGTTAAAGCCCCTATCTGTCTCTTTTGCCCCTTCCCCGCCTCTCCGTGCCTCTTTGTGTACTGCCAGCCCTTCTAGGTGTCTCTCTCCCAAGCCCTGGTCTGTGTCTTTTGCCCCGTCCACAGCCCCTCTGTGCAGTGTTCATTTTGGCGGTAAATTTCAATTTAGTTTTAGTCATAGTCTTTTAACTAAAAATCCATTTTAGTTTTAGTGTTAATTTAGTCATCCAAATTGCTTTAGCTTTAGTTTAGTTTTAGTCGACTAAATCTAGACAATTTTAATTTACTAAAATGTTAGTCGACAAAATTAACACTGCTCCATACCCTAGTTCACTTTCTCTCCTGCCACTGTTCGATTTCTTCTACACACCACTTTTACTAGCTTATTTTAACACAGGCATCTTATCCATCAATTTCTGCATAATGTGCTGTTATTCCTCTTGTATGTCTATACCATTCCTCATAGATTGTAAGCTCGTTTGAGCAGGGCCTTCTTCGCCTCTTGTCTCTGTTATTTTCCGTATGTAAATTACGCATCAAATATCCCTATTTTATAATTGTAAAACGTTGCAGAAAATGTTAACGCTATGTAAATGATATTTATAATAATAATCAAACTGAAGATAAATAGTAACATAATGAATAAAAAGTGACATGTTATATACCATCAGCAGTAACTGATAATATGTGCTAAAAAAAAAAATATTTTGCCCTATTAGCTAGAAAGCATAGCAGTATGTTTAAAGGACCACTCTAGGCACCCAGACCACTTCAGCTTAATGAAGTGGTCTGGGTGCCAGGTCCTTCTAGGGTTAACCCATTTTTTCATAATTATAGCAGTTTCAGAGAAGCTGCTATAATTATGAATGGGTTAAGCCTTCCCCCTAATCCTCTAGTGGCTGTCTCATTGACAGCCACTAGAGGCGCTTGCGTGCTTCTCACTGTGAAAATCACAGTGAGAGCACGCTAGCATCCATAGGAAAGCATTGTAAATGCTTTCCTATGAGACGGCTGAATGCGCGCAAGCTTTGCCGCGCGGCGCATTCAGCCGGCGGGGTAAGGAGGCGGAGAGGAGAGCCAGCTGAAAAGGTAAGTTTTACCCCTTTCCCCCTTCCAGAGCCGGGCGGGAGGGGGACCCTGAGGGTGGGGGCACCCTCAGGGAACTATAGTGCCAGGAAAACGAGTATGTTTTCCTGGCACTATAGTGGTCCTTTAATGTTTTCTAGAACATCTATTTTACTGAATTAATGCTGATGCATACAATGTAAAGGAAAGAAGGAACATAGATTTGATAAGCCAATGTTGTATCTCTCCTCTATCGTTCAGCCACAGGGTGCTGGGTGTAAATTAACAATCTGCCTGTTTCATGTGTCACTGTGAGGGACAAACTCTATATCCAAGTGTTTATTTATTAAACTGTGGGTACAAGTATTCTGATGTCAGAATGGCACATACTGCTCTGGACAGCTGGACACGAAGTACAGAACGATCTTTTGGTGAATATTAAGGTCAGAAGATTAGTAGGTCATAAAAATGTTGGATACTATCCAACATTGCCTGAGAAACCAGAGCAGGGGACTCCACATGTCAGATGTTACATAGTTACATAGTGTAACAGTGAAAAACAGAAAACACATAAATAATTAACCCCTTTTGTTGTCATGCAGTCACGACATACATTTCTTTACAGGTTTCTTTGTCAGCAAAGGGGTTAAGACAAAGATTATAACTTTAAGTGTGTTCAGAACCTCCCAAAACATGCACAAAAACCTCCCTCCCCTCTCCCTTCGCCACTTTAACCTCTGCCCTCTCTCATTCACCCCCCTCTCTTCCCTCCCTTCTCTGGTATTAACCTGTGACCTCCCTCTCTGTCTGGAAGGCGGGACAGTGAGCAGAAAATGCGGACTTTAGGATTCTAGAAAGATTTGGGTGGCAGTAACATCTGCCATCCTATTATCAGCCTGGGAAAGCTCTTACCCTGAATTAACCCCCAGATGGGAACTTTATTTCTTCACTTCCAAACAATCTAGAACTTAATAATGAGTTACCTGCCTGTCTAAAGTACACATTACCCAGATATCATTCCTATCTTACCATCTTTGCCCTCCCTCTATATCCTAACCTTTCACTTTCTCACCCCACCTGCCCTCATTCACATAAACACCATTTTAATTAGCTTAGTCTTCTAACCTCCACATCTTGCAAACATTCTGGTGTAATATAAAAATGCAGTCAGCAGGAGACTGCAGCCTTTAAAACAGGAGGGTGTGCTAAAAAATAAACATCACTTCTTCAGCCTTTATGCTACTGGAGAAAACGTAATTTTAACTACAGAAAAGACGTAGGACACACCAATACAAAACGCAGTTTAATCAAAAGGCCTTTATGCAACACTCGTGTTAGCAATTGTTTTAAGGTATTCCATGCTGCATACCTGCTAGCTCCAAATTCAAGGGACATTTACTGGACTACAAACTAAACCAGAGAATTTGATATTTTGTTCAATATTTCGCGAAATAACAGTCAAGCATGAGCAAAGACTTGAATTTGAGATATTTCTTTTTTACCAATTCTGGTTACAACATATCTCCTTGAATTTGTGACTGTCCCACTCCATGCAAGATGTTTCTAAAGTAGGCTATCTTGTACCAAAACAACTTTAGTTTAATGAAGCAGTTCTAGTGTATAAATCATGATACTGCAGTGTCACTTTGAATTCTCTGCTACTTAGGGCTTTTTTTTTTTTTTTGCAGCCTTAGCCACACCTTCGTGAAGCAAAAAGTGGAAGACAGGTAGTGCAAAATAAGCCAATAATTCAAGTAAAAGTTATATGCTAAAAATAAACAGAAATGGTATAAATACAAGTAAAATTTCATCAATAAAATATAGCTTAAATAACACACAATAAAAAAAAAAAAAATGTTAGTGAAGATGTTTTGGTTTTTTTCAAAGACATGTGACAGAGCTCCTGTACTCTGACCGCGTACCTCCACCCAGTCTGCTTCTTAGCCTTTTTCTGGGACCCTGGAGAGCTTCAAACCCAGTCGCTGAGGATTGACTGGGGTCTATCTGGAGCTTTTCCACCCGACCAGGCTGCAGCTCTCCTTCTAGGCAGGTATCATCCTCTCTGCCTGTTCTTCTGCAGCCCTTCTTCCAGGCAGGTATAAATCCCTCTGCCTATTTCTTTTCAGATTTCCTTCCAGGAAGGTTTGCAGTTTAATGCCTGCAATGTGATTTGATTGCTCTTGTCTTTATAAAGACACTTACGGCTCTCAGTTCTAGCTCTCTTTGATTTGTCCCAGGGCTAGAGGGATCATGCAACCAGCCAACAGGTACGACAACTCTGTGACTGGGATCCCTAAAACTCCACACAGGACACACTGTTCCAAATGAAACTAACATGTAAAGCTTTATTTTTTACTTGGGACTAGCTCATATGATCATTCCATAAACCTTATGGTGACACACTCAAATAAATACATAAAACCAAATCATGACGATTCTAGTAAATGCGCAAAT